TTGATAATATAATCCGAATTAAATATTTTGATATAGATAAAACGCATTCATCTGTTTTAAAGAAATTTGATTAAGGAAAAACAAACAAACATATATTTATATTATAAATTCCAAATTATAGAACAAATCTACCTGTTTCTGGCATTCTGCCAAAATTGATTTCTGATTAACAACACATTAGCAATTCATTTATTCTTTTTCTTCATAAATGGAAGAACTTTTTGTATTTCCCATTATTCAGATGCATAAAATAAATTAATGACGCTCTGATAATTAATATATATAAGTGAAAATATTTTTTTAATACAGTAAATAGGAATTTTATTATATTTTATATCTTATTTTTATAAATAAAAGTTATCCTGAATAAAATATGGACCTTTTAACTATAAGAGATGTATTATAAAATTGTATTTTAATATGAATAAATTATTTAATAATCAACATATATAGTCACGACCGTCTTTCCTCAATTCCTCATGTCACGGATGCGCGCGCATCATCATTATGATCATTATCATTATCTAGTGATAATAATAATAATTATTATATTATTATTATTATTTTATTATCAACATATATCAACATATATAGTCACGACCGTCTTTCCTCAATTCCTCAAGTCACGGATGCGCGCGCATCATCATTATGATCATTATCATTATCTAATGATAATAATAATTATTATTATATTATTATTATTATTTTATTATCAACATATATAGTCACGACCGTCTTTCCTCAATTCCTCATCGCTGTCACGGATGCGCGCGCATCATCATTATGATCATTATCATTATCTAATGATAATAATAATAATAATTATTATTATATTATTATTATTATTATTTTATTATTAATATATAGTCACGACCGTCTTTCCTCAATTCCTCATCGCTGTCACGGAAGCGCGCGCATCATCATTATGATCATTATCTTCTATAGAAGCTTCTATCTTTATAATTATGTATATTTACAAAAAGTCAATTCGCTCGCGCCTCTAGCGGTGAAAATGAGGGGTAATACCAGCTGACCTAATGTAGATGTAAAGTTTGGAGCGGGACGTTTCACAAGAGTGACATCCACGGCTCCAATTTATAATTGTAACAAATAGTATTTGAATAAAAACATTCAATCGGGTAAAACACGGGCGTTGCCCGGGTCATTCGTCTAGTCTTATTATAAAGCTTTCTTTCTATGAAAAAAGGTTCAGTTTTTGTCATATTGTTAAAGCCTTTTTATGATACTAATATAATGTCTTATATTTACATGCATTCATGGACAAAACTTAAGGAAGTTTCATATTTATTAAATCAATATTTCAAATTTTCATATTTAAAAATTGCCGGTCACTTATTTATTTTTGAAGGAGACAGAGGCAATTTGGTAAAATCAGAAGAATCCTCTGAAATTTAGATTACAATAAAACGCAGCCTCAGAGGATGTGTTTCTTACTTTATTTAACGTTCTCTCGATCTTTCAGGTAATGTAAACTTTTCTACGGGAATATATAAACGAAATTTCATTGTATACTCCTATAGAAAGGTTCACAGTACCTGAAAGCTTGAGAGAACGTTTAATAAAGTAAGAAACACATCCTTGGAAGCTGCGTTTTATTGTAATTAAGAGGCAATTTTGTTCACACTTGATATTCTCGTGTGTCTTCAATAATTGTCTTTCCAATAATTCGGTGATAAAAGAGATTGATATAGAATCTTAAAAAGTAACTCTAAAGTGGTAATACATCTGTACATACATTGAAAAAACTACAAATATTTCTCACAAAGAGTTTCCCTTTTTTTGATATACACTCATGAAAAAAACTTAAGGAAATAGAAAGTCTTTGATGTCGCTGGATTTCTGTTTTTTTTTTCTTAAGAAGACAGACAATTTTGTTCACACTTGGTTATCCCGTGTGTCTTCAATAAAAGTCACTGTGTATCAAAGGTCTTTTAGAGTTATTGTATGAATCCTGATATACATGGTATAAGGTACAAATTTCTTAAGTTTTGTCCATGATCGTATTTTAAAATGCTAGCTTTCAAGCGATAATCTCTCGGAAGCTAGCATTTTTAAATAAATAAATTTAAAAGAAAACATATTATGAGAAATCTTTGTAGTTTTAAAACTCCTTTCACAATTTTTTCCTGAAATCCCTGTACATTATAACCAAAGAAAACCCTAGTTTTATGGAGAAAGAAATTCATGACTGGATGACTCCTCCAACCTTCCCAATGGTGGTCTGGAGCTAAGGCCTCACCATGCGGATGTGCACAAGTTTTAAGCTGTTTTAAGCCATTTACCTCAAAGTGCTTGCCGTGACTCCATTAACATTATTATTAAACGACGTCGGTAAAAGCTATTTAAAAATACATAAGGATAAAATACGTTATCAATTTTTGAGCATCATATATTTGTGTAATGACAAAAGTAAGCGAATTATAGACCAAAAAGTTATAGAGATTTTCTTTGGCAATAGCACACACACAAACACACATAATATACTATTATATACAATATTATATTCTTTATTCACATACATTACTTATTATATAAATTACATATAATATTGGAAATAGAATCATTTAAACACAAATGTTTCTTTTATGCACAAAACAAACTTTAACTATCCTTACTGCGATGAAAATATTTTAATCTCAGTAAAGACAGTAGAAGACTTTCCACTTCTTCAAGTTTTGTCCATGATTGTAGTTCAACACCAGAATATACAAATTAAATATCTTTTATTTTGAATAGTAGAATGATTTTTATTATATATATAAATATTATTGTTTCTCTTTTTATTTCGATTACTTTTTCTTGTATAATATGTTTATAACTGTTTCTGTTTAATAAAATGTAAATCGACGCAATTATCCCTAGCCAGGATATCGCGTTTTGTGTGTTGCAATAATAATAAAAAAAGTAAAATGATGAAATCATGATGATAATATTAGATTTATAGTTCCCATCAACACACATGCTAACATTAATAAAAAGTAATACAAGCATGAAATTTATTTATTAAAATTATGCTTAAATATCAGAGAATTAAATAAACAAACTATATATATTTGCTTATTGCATAATTTAATAAATCGTTCACACAATATAATGTAATATTGTGGATTTTAGAGAATTTTATCAAGGACTAAACTTACCTAACTGTTAAAGACATAGTCCTGTTTTAAACCATGATAATCCCTATAGTAAAGAGTACATTTGTTTAAAACCATGATGACGTTTGAAATCTAAAATTAAGCCTAAGGTATACAATGGTGATTTTAAACTATAAAAGGAGATTTGGGTATTAAGAAAGGTTGATAATTATACTTGACAGAATAGAACTGGGAATAATTCTTATTCAAGGAAGGATAATCTTTCTAATTCATGGAAACTGCTTCTTTGTGGATCTCACGTAATCCATTCAGACTTCGCCTGATTACCTGCAGATTGTGATTATAGTCGAAAGAGCTCCCATCTACATGGATTGGGAGGGGAAGGATTATTGGGTCTTGTCCATTTATTCCGGTCCTGGGGAGAAAGATTTGGATCGACACTGCATTATTATATCGTCTATATATATTGTTCATATAAGATTATATATGATTTTATATGCAAATCAATGAATATGATTATTAAGATATATGTAATTCTACTGTCCTATAAGCTTATATCCATAGTTTTCTTGAAAACCATTTCTGAGATTTCACTCTTCAGTGCTATATATATGTATATTGTTCATATAAGATTATATATGATTTTATATGCAAATCAATAAATATAATTATTAAGATATATGTAATTCTACTGTCCTATAAGCTTATGTCCATAGTTTTCTTGAAACTATTTATGAGATTCCACTCTTCAGTGCTATGTATATAAGCAGAATCGTCCAATACAGTATTAGAGTACTTAGAAGCGGTCTGGTGGATTAAATTGGCGAAACTGCTGGGAGGGTTCACCACTGATGAGCCACGCCCTCTTAATATATATATTTTTCAACCTAGTAAAGGCAGTAGAAGTTTGTATTGTGTATAAAAGAAAAATTCGTGTTTTAAGGTATTCATTTGTGAAATAAGATTATATAAAGATATTTTTTCGAAAATTTAGCAACTAAAAATCTTTTATTGATTCTCAATCAATGGTGGAAAAATAAAATGAATAAACAAGCGAAAAGATGATAAATGATAATATAAGGTGATGATATACATTGACAGTTTACTCAGTTAAGGGAGGCTTACCTACCTTGTAAGAGTTCTTCTCCAGGCAGGGAGGGGGTCTTCTTGAGCCATCCACAGTGCTACGTTGAAGTAAAATATGCATACACTCATGGACAACACATAAGAAAGTAGAAAGTCTATGTTGTCGCCGGTAGTTTGCTTTTAATTTAAAGATATAGAGGAAATTTTGTTCACACTTGGTTATCTCGTGTGTCTTCAATAAAGGACACTGTGTATCAAATATCTTTCAGAGTTATTGTCTGAATCCTGATATATATGATATACAGTTTAGCATAATGCGGCGTTTTATTCATTGCATGAGTTCTCCTGTGGAAGGACAGAGATGCCCGAAAGTTTGAAATGGTATATGAAATAAAAATAAACTCATCTCCTTAAAGCTTTTTTAATTGGTTAAACGTAAAACTTCCTTAGGGTTTGTTCATGAGTGTATATATGTCTTGGCAGTCGCCAGGATGGCTAGGACATTCGTTATTCAGGCCTTGCTGAAGACCCAGCTCTGCAGGTCAGGGGACCGCAGGATGACGGTGAAGGCCTCCTGGATAAGAAGCCAGACGCAGCGATTGGACCAGTACCTATAGGCAGCGACAGGCTGTATAGTAGAGATGTAAAACGACATTTGAAAATTATCCCGCATGTGTTTCTTTTAAACGAAAAATCAAAATTTATTTTAAGGAGAAATAACGACCATTTCTAACCTTAGGGATGAGGTATGAAAGGATGAATTGTGAAGAGTAATGATAAACAGAAAAATAAAAGTGTCCAGGGATGGGAATCGAACCCACAGTGTTCCGCTTACCGGGCAGATGCCATGTCCACTAGGATAGCTTTTTATGGCTACACTTTTATTTTTCCGTTTACTCTTCACAATTCATCCTTTCATACCTCATCCATAAGGTTAGAAATGGTCGTTATTTCTGCTTGAAATAAATTTTGATTTTTCGTTCAAAAGAAACACATGCGGGATAATTTTAAAATGTCCTTTTACAATCACAAGCCGTATTATATTGTATTATAATAGAGATGTATAATGCAGCAAATTGGAACACCCTTATACCATTTAAATTTATTTTATACATGATAGTGCAAGGAAATATAAATTCATTAGATCTTTCTTAGACCTCACAGTGAATATTCGAAATATATTTATAAAAACAATATTCAAAGCAAGTCTAATGGGCTCGAGTCCAGTCGCGCGTAAGAGCTTTTACAAGTATCTATTTTGAAATGTTTATACTTTGGAGAAACGCCTGTGGAAGATTTTTTTCAAACTTAAAAGCTTGCGAATACTAATAAATTGGTGACGAAACCTTTTGCGGAGTACTTGATTATGTATTTAAAAATAAACTAGCGGTCTCGAGTCGGTGACAGAGGCCACAATACCAGATTTGGAAAACTGAGAAGCGTCTACCTAGATACCATGGTTTTGGGCTAATGGTCCTCGTCAGTCCAGGCCCGGCTTTATTCCATGAGATCCACAAGAGATCAAATGGAATCTTCACAATTTACCAAAGAGGTGTTTCACTGTCAACGTGGCTAGGCAAAATTTATGGCCAAAATATTGATTATAGAAGTTCGAAATTTATCCCGAAAACATGGCCTCCAGGAAAGTGCTTCTCAGTTCTCCAAAGCTGTTGTTGTAGCTTTGTCACCGACCCGAGACCGCTAGTTTGCACAGATGGTCAATAGATGGCGTCTAGTTTTGATCTATATTTTGATGGGAGAAGTGCCTTTTATTTTTCAAAAGAAACTAATTGTCAAAAATGTGTAAAACCTATTTGATAGTTGGCATAAAAATAAGTTAATAAACAATAGTTAGCATATCACTATTTAAACATTCATTAATAATTTTATTTATCCTTTTTTTTTGAAAAATGCTTCAGATAAATTTAAATTAGGAAAAAATAGTACAAATGTGATATTGTACTGGGATAAGGTGCATAAATTATGAAAAAGGCATCTCCTTATCGTGCAACTGAAAGTTACTGATGGCTTGCGCCATCTATCGGAATAAATATCAACTATTCTCGGTTTTATACGAGAATAGTGGATATTTATTTCGATAGATGGCGCAAGCCATCAGTAACTTTCAGTTGCACGATAAGAAGAGGCCTTTTTCATGATTTAATTTGGAGTTAGTATAGAGGTTTTTAATATGTAAAATTCTAAAAATATTTTATCAAATAACTATATTCGCAAACATGGAGAAAATGTATTCCTAAATATGTAAGATGGTCGCCCGTATGGAAAAAAAAAATTAGTGGATTGAAGGAGTTTAGTGATTCAGGTAAATGAGAAGGCAAGACATTGAAAATCCATTTGTGAACATTCAAGCTTTAAAGAAAAATTCCTTAGAGGGTTTGGATTCTCTCCTTTAGAGGACATTGTAAAAGTGACCTTCTAAATGAATTCCATAAATTTACCCTTTCTACTTCTACCTTTTTCTTCTTCAATAAACTTTCATAAATAATTAACAACATCTCTAGCCGTAGGAGTAATGATAGAAATTCCTTAATATCTAATATCAGTTTGTCAGTTATCTGTTGGAATAAATATGCCTTTTTCCTAATTCTATACAATGTTACTCAAAATTCAAAAAATCATTATGCTTATTTTTGGGGACACCTTCTTCTTATCTCCTTATTCTTTCTTATATCTGGGGACACCTTCTTCTTATCTCCTTCTTCTTTCTTATCTCTGGGGACACCTTCTTCTTATCTCCTTCTTTTTTCTTAACTCAGGGGACACCTTCTTCTTATCTCCTCATTCTTCTTCTTCCTTATCTCTGGGGACACCTTCTTCTTATCTCCTTCTTTTTCTTCTTTCTTATCTCTGGGGACACCTTCTTCTTATCTCCTTCTTCTTTCTTATCTCTGGGGACACCTTCTTCTTATCTCCTTCTTCTTTCTTATCTCTGGGGACACCTTCTTCTTATCTCCTTCTTTTTCTTCTTTCTTATATCTGGGGAAACCTTCTTCTTATCTCCTTCTTCTTTCTTATCTCTGGGGACACCTTCTTCTTATCTCCTTCTTCTTTCTTAACTCAGGGGACACCTTCTTCTTATCTCCTCATTCTTCTTCTTCCTTATCTCTGGGGACACCTTCTTCTTATCTCCTTCTTTTTCTTCTTTCTTATCTCTGGGGACACCTTCTTCTTATTTCCTTCTTCTTCTTCTGTCTTATCTCTGGGGACACCTGCTATTCGTATTTAAGATAAATTACTCTGTTTAATAATATAAAATAAATAAAGCTTCCAGGGCTAAGTTTTTTGTTTAACCTTTTATTATCAAGCTTTCGGACTTGTCAGTCCTTCAACAGGAGTATCACGTTAATAAATTGATTGTTTAATGTTGTGTATAAAAGGATAGTTCTTTACATTGTTAGTCAGAATACAAATATTATTTTGAAAATAGAGAGCAATCCATAAATAAATCTTTAATATAAAAGGCATATATTAGATCAAAATATCATTTATTTTACCAATATTTCAGTTGGCTGAACGCCAACCTTTATCATGGTGTTATAACATATTTAAAACAGTAGGATAAATATGTTATAACAACTTGATAAAGGGTGGAGTTCAGCCAACTGAAATATTAGTAAAATAAATGATATTTTGATCCAATATATGCCTTTTTAATTAAACAAATATTATTATAAACGTGTTTTGTTTGTGTGTGTTGTCCTGAAATCTCCGTATTGCTGTAAAATGTAGAAGAAGAATGTTGAGCAGAAGATGTTATTGCTGTTATCTCGGCTGCTCTACTTGAAGGAGCTTGAAGAGATTCTCAGGAAGCGAGGTGTTCAAGCTCTGAGCAAACACAGGCCGTATTGGACGATTCTTCTAACACCTTGATAGATTAATGGCCCCGAGATTAAACTTCCCCTTCTTCTACACGGATCTCTTGATCACATTTATGCCCAATATGTTTATTCTGTACACATTCCATTATACATTAATTAATCATTTCTGTATTCGGATATCTCTCTCTTACTAAATTCTTGCTTCTTTTTCTATTGCGACAAAATACTCTTCAATAAAATAATGACAGAAAATTATTGAAAGATTAAAACTAACTACAAAATTTTTATCATTTATTTATTTGTTAAAGAACGTTATCTTTCGAGTTTATTCAATTCTCCCTCGAAAGTTTGAACATGTTTTTTCTAACATATTGTAACGCCATTTTTAAAAATTAAAATAAGCTTTGCAATTTTTATTATTCGTATAATTTAGATTATGTGTCTACTATTATGATATCACTAATGTTAATATTATGTTACTCAGCAAATTTCTTCCATTGAATTTTATTATTTTATGTAAATAATATATGATTTCTCTTTTTTTTTATGTGAAACTATGTTTTGATCAAATTAAATTGCCTTGTCAACTTAACGTATAGATTTCCTACTCAACAATTGACAGGTTCACGGCAATATATTATGTCCAGACAAATGGCCTTTATCAAATTACGAAACTATTTTAGACGCGTAATATTCTTTTTAAAATAAAACAATTTCTACTGCCCTTACTGCAATGGAAAAATTAAAGGGAGGGCCTGGCTCATCAGTGGTGAACCCTCCCAGCGGCTTCGCCAGTTTAATTTTTGCATTGCAGTAAGGTCAGTAGAAATTGTTTTATTTTAAAAAGAATATTACGCGTCTAAAATAGTTTCGTAATTTGATAACAGATGGCGCGCTAGTGCATCGTAATATAAATGGCCTTTAGTTGGAGAGACTGAACAAATATTATTCTAAAGAGATAGATATTTTGAGTATCGAATAAAATGATTTGGAATGTGATCCTACATTATTTGCCTTCAACATATTTGCCTATAACACGGCCAAGAAGGACACAACAGACTTCACTCAGATTGATTTATGGACATGAAGCTGAGACGATTGTATAGGTATTCTATTCTTAAATCAAATTAAAGACTTCCAAGAGGAATATACTCAGAAGATTGCAGTAAGAGTTTTTTGTGGTAGATGGTTGCGTGAGTGGTGGTTTGACTTGTGGAAAGGCCGCTGATAAAATTATAATTATTTTTTATAATTTGAATTAATTTATTTAAAGCCATAAATATATAAAGAGAAAAGAAGTAACGGCCGTTGTATGCAAGCTTTGTTGTTGAGGACGTGCGTGGCCAGAAAAATGTCCCGGATGACGTCCGCGCATGCGTAGTGACGTGTTCTCCCAGCTTGCGCTTGCCGAGGCGTAGTGGGGCCGCCACACAACCGCCCGTATGTGTATTGAAGCTTTGTCCGCGCTTGCTGAAGCAAAGTGTGGTCACCACAAGTTGAAGAAATAAAGCAGATGGTACGATTAGAAATCTTGAAAGACCAAGAAATAGACACACTATATTAGATACAATTTTAAACTAGAAGAAACAGATTAAAAGTCAGAGATCTCGTATGGATCTTCATACCAATACACGAAAGGTCGGAATCTCTGAAAATATTTATGAAAAGCTACTTTTGACCATTCGGGGTGATACGGAAACGATCCGTTGTTGCTTACGAAGTCGAATCCCTGGATTTATTCATCCGCAGGATGATCTCAGAAAAGAATGATGCAGTAAAGAAATCCATGTGATCATCATGAAACCATGATGTTGTGAACCAGATGGACCTGTTTAAGTAGCCTGACACAACGAGAAGCTATTCGACTATGTAGGGGGCAATATATCAGTGTGTGAATGCTTAATTAAATAATAAATTATCACTGAATAAATAGATTAATCAATCACTTTATCGAATTAGCTCCACTGATTGCTAATGTAGCTGTTAATAATCGTTATTGTAAATAGATTTGGCTGTGATGATCAATAACTCTTGTTTCAT